ATCCAAAAGTAAAACTAACTGCCTTACTAATACCTTAAGTAGCAAAAGTACATTATACTACACTATATTCTATTTACATTCATGTAAAACTAATTAATTGAATAATAACCACTGAATTATAGAATATATAGAGTATAGAATTAAAACTAAAAACTGTGTAATACATAAGTATTTTGAAATAATCTGTGCAGTGGGGCTTTCGCTCTGTTTCTTTGAAATTTTCGTACTTCCATCCTAAAATAGTTATAATTAGTACTTTCACACAGCAAACAATGCAATTTATTTGAATATTGCACTGGCGTTATGTTGAAATGTTGCCGTCTCAAGTGGAACTTTAAGAGTGGTTGTGCCAGATCTTTGAGACCTCCCTGGATTTCGCTGTTCCAGTAATAATTTGTTTTAACAAAATGCAACATCTCTATTCATTTTTTTTTTGGCAGTTTTTCCTCCAGTTCCATTTCCGATTGACACCTGGTCAAATACAACAGCAACAGCAGAAGAGAGGCAGCAATCAGCCAGGTGGGCCACCAGGTCTAGCTCCACCTCCACCAAGGAACATTCCATCTGCCAACCCTCTCAACCCTTTCGCTCAGCGCTAGTAACTTAGCAACCAACACACTGTCACACTGAACAGTCGCTAATCAGCTTGTTGCAATAGGTTTTTGACACATTCATTTGCTGTACATTTGTGTAACGGTTGTGTAGAAAATTTTAAGTTGGTTTATAATCACGAACTTAATGTCATTGCTTGAGTAATAAAAGTGTGTGTTTTGCGTGGAAGGTGTAAGTTTCTTTTTTGTTTTACTGATTCTGATGTAAAGATCATCAAACCAAAACTGGGAGGTGGTATAACTTGAAAGAACCAGTCATCTAACCAACCAGATTGTAACTTCATCTCAGTGCTTTTTCTTTTCCCTTTGCAAGCACTTTTTAGAAATAACCCTTTTGAAGATGAAGAATCACGCCAAATTAGAAATTCTGTGTATTTCACATATGCACTGTCTTGATTGACATCTAGACTGTTGTTGCTTGAAAATTGCTTTTTCAGTTATTTATTTGGCAACTTTTAGACAAATGGCTGATTTCATTTGTTTCAAATAGCCTATCAAACAACAAAAATAACGTCCTTTATTTACCCTTCATCTTACAAATTGATTGAAATTAATTTAAAGTTATAATTAAATATTTAAGGGTACTGGTAACCTGAAGTAACCAGTGGATTAAAAATGCCAGATTGCCAGGTTACAAGCTCATTACGCAAAAAATGGTCAGACACACACCAAAGAACACACAGACACATACCTGGAATTATGAGAGGCAGAGTTGTCAAGCTACAAATTCTTGTCTAAAGGTATTGAAATCAATACTTCCTTCAGTTCTCACTATTTGCTAGGTTAAACAAGCCATCAGAAAGTTGTCAATAGTTTAAAACCTTGTCAAGTGGCAGACTAAACCCTTAAAGATAATAATCCACATTTACATAAGAACCCCCTCCCCCCCCCCTCCCCCCCACGGTCCTGCACGGGGATATACCCATCACTCACTGCAAGGTTAAAGGGTAACAAAGTGGGGGAGGGAATAAAAAAAATTAATTTGTCTAAATGAGATCCATTCTTTAATAGTTCTACAATAGAATAGGTTTCTATAAGTTTCAGTGTTTGGTCTTGAAAGACCATATTTGTTATCCCAGTAGTGGACTGGAATTAGGCAACTGACGTTAATGCAGGGAGAATGTGGGGAGTCATTTCAAATGCAAATAGCATTTATCGCTTTCTTCCCTGCACGAGCCTCCACTGCAAGCTAGTTCCAGTCCAATACCAAGAATACAAATTTCCCCTATGCAATAAACTTGCCTTTGTGGTGGGTTCATAGTTGACAATTGCATATCTTTATCTGCAATTTTTATTAGTTCTATCAATTGCAAAGCTTTCTGCATCAGCCGACAAGTGTGTAATATTTATAATACATGTATATCCATTCTTTTGAGACTGTCTTGAATGTTAAGACCAGTCATACTGACACAAAAACATATCACCACACAAGTTAAAAGGAACATTAAACATCTTAGCATTTTACTTATTACAGGTATGTGGGTATACAAGTGAAATTCTCCTCGTAGATCAAAATGTTCATGTATGTCCAAGGCCCCAATCATTTGTGGCACGTGTAGAAACACTTGTGCAAAGAGGAGATGAAAGCCCTTAATACAAGTAGCTGGCTTACAGTGATTGAGACAAACATACACTGCAGCAATACCTTTGGGTGACAGAAGTATTATTGGTGGGGATGCTACAACCAGAAATTGCTGGGAGACTTCAAAGTCAAACTATCTGGGGTATTTAAGGGGAGGGGTACATTGGGCTGCTAGACACCCCACCCCTGCCCCACCCACCTTTGACGAAGTGCAAAATTAAAGAAAACTGGAAAAGATTGTGAATATTATGGCAGAAATAAAGGCAAACAACCAACCATTGCTAGTGTAAAGCCCTGTCAGAACGAGAAATGTTTGGCAGCCAAACATATTTCCTGTTTGGACAAGGCTTAACAGTTTCATATCTAATTGGGTTTTTATTTTCAAATTACAACATTTCTGGGCATTTCCCATTGATTCTGCAACCCAAAGGTACCAACCACACCCCTCTTGAAAAACCCTGTATCCACCCCTGGAGAGGGGTGGCAAGATAGGATAGCTTAGGTGCAGAGTGGATGTTCACATCAGGAGGCTATCACTTTCATAAATCTTCCTCAACTTTTTTATTTTCGTAACAAAATCCTATGTGTACTTCAGTAGACTCTACCCATTCCAAATGGGAAATTTGATTTGCCATAAAAACTTTTAATAACATACTTTGTCAAGATAGATGGCATAGAATTTCACAATCATGATAATTTCTGACCAAAACCTGTGATAACAAGAGGCTTGATGACTAAGAATGGAGAAGTCATTTCATCTACTAGTAACTACCGTACAGACTATCTGCAGTAGCCATGCTATTTTACAGCCAGTTGGAAACCTACTTAACTTTAATATGGTATTGAATATCATTGTTGATCCCATACCTTATAGAATATAGCCTATCACAAGGCTTGAAAGAAATTGGCATTCAGCAGCATCCAATGCCATGCTTTTTTGCACCAGTGTTTTTATTCCAGTTATATGCTTATGTGCATTACGAGTATGGAATTAAAAAAGCTGGCATTTGTCCCAAGCTTTCTTGTATCCATGAATATTTCACTTCGACCTTGATTTTTTTCTAAATATGCACACTCGTCATGTCACAAGAAATATTCTCATGAAATGCACCTTAAAAGTATGGCATATACATGCTTGCTACTGAAATCTGACACATACAGATTACATTTTACTTCAAGGCTTAGCATCACAACAAATAGCCATCAGTGTCACATGATCAGCAATTCACAAGGTAAAGTCAGATCTGTCCAACAAATTATCAAAAATGATTTGTAGACTTCCACATTGTTAATAGCTAACATGGTATTTAAATTGTCACAAGAATATACTAATGAGAACATCTTCTGACTTCACTTATTACTTCTGAGCAAAAACAATGTTATGTTAAGACTAATAATTCCTCTTCTATAATAACTATTAATAATTTATATAACACATCATGAGGGCCGAGTCCAACTACTGGCTTAAAGACTGTTAAGTTGCTCAGAATTAAAAGTGTAATATAATAAAACTGTCTTTACATGATCCACCCTTATTGCCTGCTACAGAAGTACACTTATCGACTTGATCATCAAGATAAGGACACTTATCAACTAGATAAGTACAATAACCATGTACCATGAAGTACCATACCACACCATATGTAACCGCTCAATAAAAGTTTTTGATTGATTTATGATACATTTTGTTCATAGTTTGTACACACACACACTTTTCAGTTTGGGGAAGGCAGACAAACTAACCACAAGCCCATAAATTATATGTGAAGCTGTGGACTTTTGGATTGCCTAAGAAGTGTGCAAAATCCAAGAGAAATCAAAAACCATTATAAGCGGCAATATTAGCGGTTTTCACTGAGTGTCAAAAATTATTTGTTTTTGCACTACTACGAACACAATAGGCTCAAAAAGAACTCGTGCCACTATTTCATCCAACCAGAGGTAAAACTAAAACCAACTGTGACTTGTTTGTACATGTTTTCCTGTGCTTTGCACCAGCTACATGCATTTACTTCAAGTTTTAATTGGCTCACTGTATTGTTTTTGTCCTTAGTGATTGGCTAGAGTGATTAGTTTGGTTTTGATTTTAACACTCAATTGAGAACCACTCTATAGTAATAAGTATTTCACAGCAGTGATATTTTCTGACCCACATATAGTGGCTTTGCTATGTGTATAAACAAACTTTCACAGTTCATGGCCTGTTCAAATTGTTATGCTGTAATACAATTCCACATTAAGGCCAACACAGATTCAATAACCACAACAAAATTTTTGTCTCAACATCCAAAATGCCCTCATAGCTGATAATGTACAAAAACTTTAGCTGATATTACAATAAGAAAACAACAAAAATATAATAAACTTCAAATTCTACCCATAGATCCTTTGCAGAGAACTGCATGACTGTATCAGTCATTTTTTAAAACAAAAAAAAAAACATTGGTATGGTAGAAAATTGCGCTAGGTTCCAGAAATCAGGACAAAATTTGTATTGAAGATTGCCTTTTGAGACCACTGATGTTTGGAGGAGAGATTCTGTGGCATATTGAACAATGATATTATAGATTAAAAATTAAGAAGCTTTTCTGCATAAAGCAACTGAACTGCAATGTGTACTATAGAAATTCTCTCACTTTACGCATCAATTTTCCACTTTCCACTTTTTTACCATAAACCCCTGGGGATAACAGGCTTGAACACTGATGGCATTTATTCTTACAAAGTTTAAACTACTGATTTTGAATTTTTGGAAATATGGACTTGCATGTGACTTTCTCACTCAAATAGACTTCCATAAGCAGGTCAATAAAAGATAATTCCTGTCTTGCATATCACAAGAAAAAAAACATTAGTTTTTTATGGTACGAATTTTTTTTTTTTAGTGAGTTAAAATGTTCAACACAGTCATGTGTCAACATACTGCAAAGGACCTATTGCTTCTCAGAATGAATTAAATGTAGCAATTGAAAGTTGTTTTATCCAAAGCAAGTAATTTTTGGCCTTAAGTAGGCAGGATAAACCTAACTGGTCAAACTCAAATTCAAAGTAGAAGCTCTAAAATTTTTCTTGAAGCAGAACCTTGAATTACATATTTTGCTAGCATAATAAGTTTCATTATGTACTGTATGTTATTTGGAGGTAACTTGTGATACAAATAATCTACAATGCAAAGCTTTTCCTTTATGATTTTTCTTTTTGTTCGAGCTTGTTATGCAGCAGATTACTCCTCCAACCACCATAGAGAGAATTTAATGAATCAACATGGCTATACATACAATGTAATTATAGTCTTACGTAACTCTCATATTATTAGTTACTTACTTTATATGAGAATACCTCTTACAGTTGTCAAGGTAGCTATTGAAAGACAAGAATTTATAGTACAATAGAGCTGTTAAAAAGCATCTAAATAGCTCTCAAGATCCTGCCTTCAAGAAAATTTTAATGTTTGTGATTAGAACACAGCCAGGTTAATCCGTCGTATAAACCATCTCCAGATGTAGCACATGATGGTTGTACATACCAATTTCTGTCTCTTAGTTTTGTTAGGTGTAGTCTTTCTTGAATTTCATGAGGTTTGATGGCTAAAACAAAGAGAAAAAGTATCAGGTTTGGGGGGTTTAACCTCTTAGCTCACAAAATAAAGTCTTGAGCAACTTAAAGTGCACCTAACCCCCAAATTTTTTTTTCCCTAAAACGAATCTACTTGTTATTTGATATAGTTCTGGATTCCGTTAAATCCTCGATTTTCTGTGCCCCGACGAAATCTCGAAAATAGCTCCAAAACACCACCATTTTCTTTCACGACCAAGTTTGAGGAGAATGGGTCCAGCGGCTCTTGTGACGTCTACCCAGGAAGGTTGAATATCTCACGTCCTCTCATTTCCTTCCGGATGGTGCAATACACATTCGAAAAGTGCGCAGAAATGCCTTCCAGAGGTGCTATCAGCTGTTGCAGCAATATTCCAGATTTAAAGAAAGATATACTGT